CTTAAATCTTTAGAGGCTGAATTTATTATAACTAATATGTACAAATTCAGTTCGTACCTCACACGAAACATTACGTCTCCGCTACAAAGCCCAACCGGTTAATGCTGTTTAGGGAAACAGTCGCTGTTTATTGTGAGAACCATACGGAACACACAGATACAGTCTGTGGGCAGAATGCAGAGTTTTAGTATGTTCAGTTCGTACCTCATAGGAAACATTACGTCTCCGCTACAGAACCCAACCGGTTAATGCTGTTTAGGGAAACAGTCGCTGTTTATTGTGAGAACCATACGGAACACACAGATACAGTCTGTGGGCAGAATGCAGAGTTTTGGCATGTTTAAACTTGTGGTATGTGTAGTAACCACTGGGATTTAAAGGGTCAATTAATCTCAAAGGGCGCCATTGGTAAATTTGTGTTTTACATGTCTGAGTAGATTCTCTCCTATTTCGCTGATGAAGGCTGACGTTTCGGGCTGTTACAAATGGTTAGTCAGCAACAAAAAAGGATACAGGTGTACGATTACTCCTCTGTTTGCTGACAAAATCAACAGAACTTGCTGTTCCCTCCCTCCACACAGACGGTCCCGGCGTCCGCAAGCGGCAGACACAAGTCAGTTCAGTTTATGAACCTGTGTATCACACAACAGGAGGGTTCCTGCCGGCCCGGTTGCTCTGACGGTAACGCTCTACATTCACATTCAGGAGGTGTTCTGTTCGAATCCCTGTTGGGGCATTGGTTATCTCGACTGAGGTTCTTCGCGTTTTACCTCAGTCTTTCTGAGCAAATTCTGGGGCATGAGCACTTGCTTCCACAGCCTTCCCAGTTCAGTGTTCAACTATCATCTTATGGTTCGACGCTATCTGGGATACAGAGCGTTATAAAGTGAACAACAAAGACATACGCGTAGCAATTTCATAATTACTTTCATAATTTCCTCTCACTCTCCTAAAAACATTCCACCCCCCCCCCCACACACACACACACACAGGTAAACTTGAAGAAAGCAGTCTTCTGGGAACCTCGCTCTCGGATTTTCTTGTTTTTCTTCTACACTGAAGATGGAGGCGATACGTTTCTCCGAAACGTCGGTTAACACAATATCTACACGGTGCCACATCCCAGAAGACTGCTGTCTTTATAGTCACCGCCATGAAGACCTCAAATCTTACAAAGGTAAACTTGTTCTGTGTTCAACTAATCAAGCATTACTCCATGAAAACGTATGGGGGAGTGGATGTATAGATCCATGTATTCATGGCCTCAGTATTAGCTGGAGGTGAGTGGTCAGCTTCACGTCCCTGCCGCTTTATCCCGGGGAAAGAGCCACCGGTACCCATTGGATACGAGATTTTGTGAACCCCAGAGCCGGTTTGGGCGACGTGGAGAAGTGAAAATTCTTGATCCTACTGGGACTCGAACTCCGACCCCTTAGCCAGTCACTATACAGACTGAGTTACCCCGGGTGGAAATTAACAGTACGAGGCCAGTCCTCCTTACACTCATACAAATCTATTAAAATATATGAAGTCGAAACAGATCGATCCGTATGGCAACGGGGCTACGGGCTGGACAATCCGGGTTCGACTTCCGGCATGGCAGGTATTTCTTGTTTCCTCTTCTCCATGTCGTCAAGACCGGCTTTGCGGTCCACCCGGCTTCCTATTCAATGGGTACTGGGGGCGATTTCCCCGGAGGTAAAGAGGACAAGGCGTGAAACTGATCACTCATGTCCATCTAGTGCCGAGGTCGAGAATGGTGGAGCTATGCCTCCACTCTCCCAATACGTCTTCATGGCATAGTGCTTAACTAATTAAGCACAGGGACAACTTTACGTTTTATTAATACCTTAATTCCGCCTAACATGAAACCAGCGAAGCGGGACATGCACTCCAGAGAACGAAATGCGAGCCACGTACAGACTGGCCATTTGGCTAAGTGAAATTACGGCAGAGGCATTCAGGGCGCAGTGTGACGTAACGGGTGAGATTAAATTCAGACTCCGGAGAATAAGACGTACAGCGTCGTAAATTGGCTCAGTTGAGATAAACAAAATAAACAGCGCCTTCACGGTGAAGAAACCTTCTCAAACTCTTGAGTAATTTACAGTATTCAGCAGCACAATCTTGTATCGGCGCAATTCTGCGGGTCCAAANAAAAAAAAAAAAAAAAAAAATGAAAATTTCTGAAAATGAAGAAAATTGGTTACGAAATATTCGCCGAAACTAACAATTCCAGTGTGTTCGCTAATAGTAAGCATCCCGAAAGCCGTAAGACTTACTGGAAAATGATTATCATAGATACTGTGTGATTAATTTTTCTCTATACATTTTCCTCTCCGAAAGAATTTTGCCAGTTGGTCTCGAGTTCCCTGTAAAATCACCTGTAGACTCACATGCAGTCATGTAGAGTATCCGCTATTTTTGTCCAAATTATAATTAAACACTGCACAATACCAACACACATCAACAGATTTATCCAATATCAAATTTCATGAAAATCCGTTCAGCGGTTCCCGAGTTGTTACATGCAGATAGACGGACATACATGACGAGGTTAACGCGCTAATTACTGCGAACGAATCATATCCCTATAAATGGACGCCATTTCATAAACAAATGTTGTCGCATTCTACATAAATAGAATGTGAAGTTGTCCCTGGGCTTAACTAATTAAGCACTACGCCCTGAAGACGTATGGGGGAGTGGATGTATACATCCACATTTTCTTGATCTTGGCACTAGTTGGAGTTGAGTGGTCAGCTTCACGCCCCGGCCGCTTTACCCCCAGGGAAAGAGCCATCGGTACCCATTGGATAAGAGGTTGGGTGGACCCCAGAGCCGGTCTGGACGAAGCGGAGAAGAGAAAATTCTTGATCTTACCGGGACTCGAACTGTGATCACTCTGTCGTCCAGCCCGTAGCCAGTCTCTATACCGACTGAGCTATACCGGCTCCATGTAAGTCTATGTAAAGGTACAGTAGTCCCTGTGCCTAATAATTAAGCACTACGCCATGGAGACGTATGGGGGAGTGGAGGTGTAGATTCTCGTTTTCTTGACCTCAGCCTCGACGTCTCACAGCCTTATGGGCTTCCACGGCCTCCTACAGGGATAGCTTTACCGCAAGTCTCTGTGTCCGAAGTAATTTATGTCGGGTTTTCTTCCGAAACGTCGATGTGCTTCCATCAGACTACATGACGCTACATCCCAGAATACAGAAGAATTCTTCATTTATCAGTTCGTCAAGACAAAACACTAACACTGATACTGAAAACACTAACACTTGGTTTCAAGAATAAATCAAGGTACACTTGAATTCGGGCAACTAATCACTAAACGAAACACGTTCTGTTTTCAACAAACGAAACAGAAAGAACACTTTTGTTCTAAAACACAAAACAATTGCGTCACTGAAGAAGATGGCACAGAAGGGCTCATTCATTCTTATAATGAATGTATAAGTAAACAGACAGACAGACAGACAGCCGGGTAAAGCAAATGCGAAACTCGGTACCCCCTGTTCCAGAGACAATTGTGTGTATATCTGAACTATGTATTGGTAACATAACGTTCAACTTGTTTCAACCGGGGGCTGAGATAGCTGTCAGTACAGTCACTAGGCTACGGGATAGACGGCCGAAGTATCGGTGTTCGATTCTCGACAGCGTCCTGACCAGCTCTGGAACTGGGTGTCGGGGTTCTTTCCCCAGGGGTAAATTGTCTGGAGCCTGAAGCTGGCCAGTCATCTCCATCCAACTAAGTAAAGCTATCCCTGTACCAGGCCGTGAAGGCCCATAGGGTTGTGAGACGTTGAGGCTCCCACATTATCTAGACAATCGGCTCAAAGATGGCGGTAAGGTTGTCAGCCTTACGCGCCGGCCGCGCTTTACTCCCCAGGAATACTATTTAATTAATTCCTGGTACTCATTTCTGTTAGAGGTTGAGTGACCCCCAGAGCCAGTGTGCGGCTGGAAGGATTAGGTCAATTGAAAAAAAAATCCAATGACCTCATGGGGACTTGAACCCGCGACCCTCCATCCAATGTCGAGGTTACTTCCCTGAACTTCCCCTACGTCTTCATGACGTGGTACTTAATTAAGTGCGGGGACAAGTTCACTGCGTGAATTTCAATAAGAGTTTTATATAACTACTGGACTTTTGTCACATAGATTTGTGGATAACAGTCGACGTGCCTAGTTTAATTGGTCTGACAAAGTGAGGTAACAATTATATAGGCGACGGTGGGTGACGGTTCAATGTCAGTATGTTCGTACGACACTAAGACAAATCGTGGACAATTTTTCATTAAGGGCGAACTACTTCAAAATCAAATTTATATCACGGAAAAATTAAGAAAATGGGACAATAAGACGTGATGCTGTATACCATTTGCTTTACAAGTGAAAGAATTTCTGTATTTTGTTTTGTACGATTCCCGTAATAAACAGAAATCATTTTCTTAAAAGGAGCATCAAGCGGTTGGTCTTCGTTATGAAAGAGGAATGTTTCCTGTGGGGTACGAACTTAATCTTTATGTATTACTTATAGCAAATTCAGTCTTCAAATTCTTAAGTTCTAGGTTAGCTACAAGTAACCCCATTTTACTTCAAACTAGATGGTACGTACGCCTGTAGTAAGCACTGCAATATAGACATAAGTACGTTAGTACCATCAAACCAAATAGACGAATGAGTTCTCCATATATATACACGTTTACGTTTACAGCAAGTTGATGTAATGCTAACACTATAGACCAGCATTCGGGAGGTTCTAGTTCGATTCTCTGCCGGGACAACGGCTAACCTGAGGTTTTTCGTGTTTCTCCTCAGTTCCTACAAGTAAAGGGCGGGATTTTACTTCGATTTTGGAATGACCGCATCCTTCCAAATTCTTCCCAATTCATCGATCATGCTACCGTGCGATGATGTCTAATGACCGCGTCGTGAAACGGAACATGCTTCATGCTTCAAACGGTTAGCTAAACGTATTTTTCACTCACCGAGATAGCAGCACAGCTTGCAATCAAAATATTTCCTTATGCCATGACACGAAACAACAATCACACACTCCACAAACACTAAACACGGGTATAAACACGATCGTTTAGAAGAGAATGCACTGCCCCAATTGACTAGCACTGAACCCGCTTTGTGTACTTGGCGACTTGTGTCGGACTGTGCCAGCATGTGCCGGCCGGTCTCGCTCAGCAGCTGCTACCGCCACCACCAGACGACTCCTCCAGCACCATCTAGTAGCACATGTCTGAACTACCTTATACCTCTTAGCCTTAGGAGACTCAAGTTTACGTGCATGTTTTTGAAAAATAGAAATTTTATAAATTCTTTTGTTTGTCCGTGGCATAAAATTGGAAAGTTTATATATCACAAAATATCTTTACAATATCATAAACTCACCGATCTTAACAAAGAGATCCTATATGTTCCAAAAATTCCCTCACTGGCTCCACCGCCCTTGGACTTATGTTTTCTAGTGATTCCACCCTGCGCTATTCTACTTTGGTTCTTAAAATGAAAACGTCTTCGTCTTTTTTATTATTTTTTTTAATTTAACGTGTATACGCTATCAACTTGGATCCGGCATAATTTAACTAAAAGTTTCAAATATTCCTTCACTAATAGCAAATTTCTCACGCATAAACTTACGAGGCCTATCCGGACCGAAAAATGTTGCGCATGAAATAAAAAAAAATTGTTTGTATGAAGAAAACGCCAAGAAACCTGGTCCCACTCCAGACTTGTATTCGGGAGGTACTCTGTTCGAATCTTTGCCGCAACATCAGCTATCATGACTGTGTCTTTTCGTGGCTTTCTATTAGGCCCTCCAGACAAATTCCGAGATAGTTCCCGATTAAACCACGTCTGCACACGATAACGTAGTTGGTTGAGGCAGCATGCTACAAGTCGGAAGGTCGCGGGTGCGACTCCCGATGAAGGCATTGATTATTCAATTGACTTAATCCTTCCAGCCCCACTATGGCCCTAGGGTTGACTCAGCCTCTAACAGAAATGAGTACCAGTAATCATCCTGGTGGTAAAGGGCGGCCGGCGCGTAAGGCTGACAGCCTCACCGCCATCTGTGAGCTGATTGTCTAGATAATGTGGGAGCCTCGACGTCTCACAACCCTACGGGCCACCGCGGCCTGTTACCTTTTACCTGCTTCCTTCCAATTCATCTGTCATGTCACAATTCGACGCTATATCGTCTAAGGAGTGAAAGCATCGTGAAATAACCAATAAAAATGAAGAAGGAAATTTCAGGAAGTCACAGTATGTAATATAGAAGCAATTCCGGCGATGAAGCTTTGTCATTTATACAAATCTGTCATCGAACGAGTATCGGTTATTTTATTGACGTTCCATTTACGTAACGTCACGTGTTGCTGTAAAATGGGGAAAATGCATGGAGCTGAAGGCCACCGGGGACAGATGCCGCACAGCTGGACACTGCATGCCAACCTTCCTCACTGACACTGTTTCCTGACTCACTGCAACGATAAGTAACGTGGGAAGGTCTACGGCCCAGATAATTTGCTTGGATCAATAATTTCATAACTCGCGTCAAGTACTGAAGAACTGCAAAGATTAAAAAAAAAGTAAACTTGTCCACGTGCTTAAGTAATCAGCACGCCATGAAGTTGTATGGGGAGCGGAAGGTACAGCTCCACGCATTCTTCTGGGATCTGTGGTTCTGAAAGCAGGAGTTATAGACAGCACTATGTTAACGAGTGTGAAGACGTGTAGTATGCTGAGGATAAGGAGAAATGGGGTCAATACGTTCCTACGAGTAGTCTGTAAATTTATACCGGACTGCACGGCAACACAGGATATTACTTGCTGTAAGCATTCTTAACCTCAGAGGCTAAATGGAGGGAGAGTGGTCAGGGCCATACCCCCATCAGCTTTATCTTAAAGCAAAGAGTCCCCAGTATAATTTCGTTTGGAGCCGGGTAAGACCCAGACCCGTCTGAACGCTGTGAAAATAGGAACATCTACTCTCCCGGATGCAAACTTCGTGGTCGTCTGGCCCGTAGCTTAGGCAGTACATCGACTGAGCTACACCGGCCCCCTTATTGTAAAGGACGGGAGAACAATCAAATGAAGCGCACACAGCGTGTGGAAAATTAATTTCATTTCATGAAGCATGAATTATATGTTCTTCGGTTATACAGAGTGTTCCGGGAGGTCACGCTATCGGTCATTCTAAGCAAAAAGTGTATATGTACATGTGTCCTATTCCGACTGTGCAGTACACTGTACACTGTACAGACGAGCAGCACGCCATGTCCTCATACGAGTTGCACCGAGATAGAGCTATTCACTGTACAGTACACTGTACACTGTACAGACGAGCAACACGCCATGTTCTCACACGAGCTGCACCGAGATAGAGCTATTTCACTGTACTGTACACCGTACAGACGAGCAGCACGCCATGTCCTCACACGAGTTGCAAAGTGCATTGATGTTGACGGTGGAATTTTGAAAATTTGTTATACTAGGTAAACTGTACCTACATTGCCACTTGGACAGTAAATACCGGTATTAGAAACAGTACGTAATATCTCTTTCTTACCGACAGTTTTGGAACGGCACAGTGAAATAGCTGTACCTCGGAAACCGTTCGGACTAGGACACATGTACATGTACATGTGTGACCTCCCAGAAGACTGACCTTTCCTCCTTGGACATCCTGTACAATGAAAGCCTCAGTTCCTCCAGGCAGTTCTGGGGTAAGCATTGCGTCAGATGACGCAAGAGTCAATATCTATGATTTCATATAAAAATCAAAATTGTCACTCTGCAACTAAGCACCATGTAATAAATATGTATTGAGGAACAGAGGTAGAGATCCAGGTATGTTTAATCCTGTAAATCAAAGTCCATGCTTCAAAATGTTAACTTCGGTACCAGATAAACCTCAGTAGTTAGCTTCACTCTCCGGCCGCTTCACCTTCAGGGAAGGTGCCCACGGTACTCACTGGACAGGCAGCTAGGTAGGTTCCTGAGACGGTTTGGGCGTGATGGAAAATGCGGTAGTTTCTGACCCTACAGGGAATTGGACGTGGTTCAAGAAGCCTGTACGCTTATCACTAACGGTGATCTGATAATTTATCACCAGTGTCAAATTTATCATATTTAACTCTAGCGTTAATTAGCATTTCATTAAATTATTTTAATATGTAATATAATGATTGTTATTATCCTTGAGTGGAATGTTGTAATTTTCGTGTCCTGGAACAACATAAATGAATTCGAAATTTCTACAGTACATCGGTTCGAGATCCTTTCATTGCGATAGTCTCACAGAGATGGCAGAACAAGTCAAAATGCTTCCCTTTATTGTGGAAAGGTGGCACTGCAAGTCTCATTGCCAACATGCACTCTTTTCAAAACACTCTGAGTAGTACCAGCCGTCTCCACCAGTACAGATGAGGACGAAAATCATTGTATGTGAACCCCTAGGTTCCTTCCACGAGTGATGAAGCGTTATATATTTACGGAGGGAGAGGGGCTATGTGTACAAGATAATATTAAAATTCATGATAAAAAAGTGTATGATGATGTGGATTGCATCAATTGAACTCAGGATAGGCAGCAGTTGCGCGTTCTTCCGAACACGGTAATAAAACTTGTGGGTTCCACAAAATACGAGTAATTTTTTGACTACGTAAGGGTTAAGAAAGGTTGTTATTCTTGATGTTGCTTAATTACACTTTTATTACCTGTTCACGTTTTTGCTTATTATTCTATTCAGTTAGGGGCAAGGCACTGGCATTCTCTGTCGCTAAGTAACGCTCTCGTATATACTGAGCAACGATTTCAATAACTTCAAAAGTTTCCCATGGACGGACTAAACAAGCTCTGACGCCCGAAGCATCAATACAGCCGGCTCTTAACAATTTCATGCCTTACGTCGACTCTAATAATATTTAAAAATTCAGTTTCTACCTCACAGAAAACATGCTCCAACTCCGTTACAAATATTATCCGGTTACCGCTGCTTAGGCAGAGTCGTTGATTATGAACATATATAATTTTTACCGTCAATGAAACAATACTATATTATTTATTTTATATCACGCACATGTTTCGATCTCAAAAGGGTCATCTTCAGGTGCTGCAAGTTACCCATTTACTATTACCGAACCTGCAGCAACTGAAGATGAGGTCGAAACATGTAATGCGTGCTATATATATAAATAAATAAAGTATTGTTACGTTGACGGTAAAAAATATATATGCTTATTGCATATACGCAACAAGATGCAATCATTCAAAATAGTCATTGATTAAGCTTAGAATTATATGACACACGTAAAATGCAGAGCTTGAATGTTAAACCATTTAATTTCGCGTGATCTGTTTCTTGAAACAGTAAAGTTTCGTGACACAAGATTTCCACATTTTTCAAATTATGTCTTTAATAACACTCCGGAAACAACAGGCTTATCTAAATACGTTACATACCATTTATGTATTATGTATGTGTGTAAGCGGTGGGCCATAAAATCCTGCCCTCGCACTGCGACCTTCAGTGATCTGTGCATTAACCCTTTATTAATCCTACACTTCCAATGAAACGTAGGACTTCATGGGGGCGTAATAAAAGTCACGTACTTACTTACTTACTTACTTACTTACTTACTCATGGAGCTGAGCCCTTCTGGAGGAGCCGCCAATTCTGCAGCTACTCAAGAATTTCCCAGCATTTTATGGAACCCAAAGGTTCATTACCGTGTTCACAAGAACCCTCCACTGGTCCCTATCCTGAGCCAGATCAATCCAAAGCATACCATCCCATCCTATCTCTCTAAGATCCGTTCTAATATTGTCCACCCACTTACACCTTGGTCTTCCCTGTGGTCTCTTTCCTTCTGGCTTTCCCACTAATATCCTATACGCATTCCTCTTCTCTCCAGTTCGTGCTATATGCCCTGCCCATCTCATCCTCCTTGACTTGATCATTCTAATTATACTTGGAGAAGAGTACAAGTTATGAAGCTCCTCATTATGCGTTTTTCTCAAACCTCCTCTCACTTCATCCCTCTTCGGTCCAAATATTCTCCTCAACACCCTGTTCTTAAACACCCTCAGGCAAAATATAGCTGTGTATATTCTAATTTTTATGTTTTTGGACAGCAGACGAGAAGAC